TAATTTTGAATATTTAAGAATATATGAACTTTTGATCTATGTCTATGCACCTATAAAAAAGTTGGTGATCTAGATTGTATAAATCAAATATCCCTTTTGCATAAGCATAAATTCTTTCAAATTTTATTTCAACATGTCTATGTTACTACATGTGCGCAAAGTTTGTCTGCCCCCTTTTTTGTCCATGTATATTTTAATAGTTTCTCACAAAAATACTTTAATTTCGGTTTTAAAACTATAGAGCCTGCTCTCATGAATTTTGAAACATATCGACTTGAAAATACAATATTTTATGATTTGTTTAAATGGAAACAATTAGGTTTTTGAATGAAATAAATTATTTTCCGACTCCTGTGATGTAATAAATTAATATAGGAAGAGGATGGTGCTGAAAATCTAATGAGGCAGTTGTCTCATAGCTACGTCCTTGTTCTTAGGGAAATATAGAGATGAAAGGAAAAACAATTGGCCATTTATAAAGCCTAGTTTATCAAATAAGAAAATATGTTTAACTCATTCTGGTGAATAATTCTATACACATGTTCTCAATAACACATTTTTTTTGTTTTCAAGTTCACGCAGATAATTGCTGTACGACTTTATAATTGCTGTAATGAAATATTTAATTCTCACCTTTTGATCTCCAACTAATTAAAATTAAATAGTTGAACACACACGCTAAGCAAACGGGCACCATATTAACATTTACGATCCGTTACCTGTGGCACTGCATATTATAAAGTCATGATTCTGAGCATACAACACATATTTATATCTAAGATTTTATAAAAGATCTTAATTTATTACAAAATAAATGAAATACTAAAAAAAAGGGGGGAGATGTTTCGCACCGAAATCGGTGCGAATCATCTCGGCGCGAACCATCTCAGTGCGAAACAGAATCGGCGCGAAACATCCCGGATTCCTGTTTTCCATCTCTAACCTTACCAACTTTATGGGTCAGTATCTTAAAAATAAAATCTGTATGAATATGTTCATTACGTTCTTCATGTTGCCCCATACTCTGGAAAAACATGTATAGATCGAAATTGTCCGATAACGTTTGAAGATTAAAAATATTAACAGCTAACTAACAAAGGGCAAAGTGGGAAAAAATGAGCGTTACGCCGACAACGGCCGAACGGGAGATAACTCTTAGGAATATGAAAGTCGTTTTTATTGCCGTTTCTACAACATATAAAAAGTGCCGTTTTCACAGATACCGTTCGATTTATAATCCGTTACACGGTTTTCAGCTTATCGTCTTTTAAAATCCCGCACACTGGAAAAAGAGTACAGTAAAATCTTCTACAAATCGCCACAGTGGAAGTCTAATAGTTACCGTTCCACTTGATCTGAATTTGTAATTTCATACATCAATTTCATATATATATATAAGCATTCAAAGACAATAAATCAAACAATTACCGGTAATACCTTTTAAGTAAAAGTAAACGTAATTAAGAGCTTTAAAATCCCGCAAACTACAAAAAGAGTTTAATCAAATTCTCTGGGTGCAAAACACAGTTTTATGTATGACGTTATCAGGACGTTACTTGGTGCGGGACAAGTAAAACTGATCCCTATAAAAAAATAAAATGGAGGCTTGTTACATAGACTTCTGCATATCAATGGAAAGATAAAATTGTGAATTTTATAAATATTCAACTATAATACATTCATCAATTACTACTGGGGGGTATTTGACACCTGAAATATGGGGGATATTGGGTTGTTTATGCATCCATTTTCAGTGCACCTATGCATTTTTAACCCCCCTGCTCAACAAAAACAGAAAAAATCAGACAAACTAAGTTGCATGCATTTCACAGAACAAGTCTTAAGGTTTTCTTTTAGTGTGCTTTCAGGGTACATTTTCCACCTCTTGAAAGAGCTACATTACCTGCTAATTGACTCATGCAATTCTGCACATGTGAAAACTGGATGTTTTGGGAGTTATCTCCCCCTATTAAAAAGTCTCACAATTTTTTTTTTTTCTAAAAATGAATGCACATTTTTTTCTTTAAATATTAAGATAAGACTCTACTTTATGCGAATAAAAACAAAAAAGATGCAGTTTTCATCTAGACTCCTATAAATAGCAGGAAAATCCCTACCCAGCATGCTTCTCTCTGGGAAAAACCCCCTGGATTTTATACGAAACTGTGTTTAGCTACCTTAAAGGAAATAAAATTTTTTGGCAATTCATTTTTTTGTATTTTTAGGTGCAAAGAGGACAGAATTCCAAACATTTTGGTGCATAAATTGTTGAATTTGGTCCAGAAATGGGCAAGTTATTGTAAATTTAGTATTACATGTCTACGACATTAGTCGACGCATAAAACAGGACTTCGAAGAGAAATTCAAACCTAACCGAATCAGCTCACACAATAATTTTATTTTTCTTCAATTTAGAAAACACGAAGTTTGAAATATACAGTATTTGAATATCAATAAAATGTTACATTATAAATTTTTTGAAAAGCTGCCAAACAATTTTTACAGATATTGCTAGTTTCTGTATAAACAAGGGGGGGGGGGGGGGGTCTAATTGGAAATAGTCACTGTCTTAAATCAGAAGATTGCCTAAAAAATCTGGACGGTGTCACCCTAACTAGATACTCGATAGGTATATCTATACAGAAGGTACATATTCTCATTTGCGATCAATTAAATTGAAGGTCATGACCTTGTGAAGCTTCCATTTTTGACATGACGTCACACTTTGATGTCACAATGCAGTTGCGTCATAATGTAAAATAACAACTTTAGCCCCTGAATCCTTGTTACATGTATAAATTCTATGGAACATGTATCTAATAGGCATTATGCCTTACACAGTGTCAACCTGAGATCATATTGTATGGTTTACTACATAAATTAAAACAGATAAAGCAATTTTCTATGAACTTACAGGCAAATAAATGTGGGAAATGTCATCAAATGCTACTCCTTAAGGGTGCAAAACACAGTTTTATGTATGACGTTATCAGGACGTTACTTGGTGCGGGACAAGTAAAACTGATCCCTATAAAAAAATAAAATGGAGGCTTGTTACATAGACTTCTGCATATCAATGGAAAGATAAAATTGTGAATTTTATAAATATTCAACTATAATACATTCATCAATTACTACTGGGGGGTATTTGACACCTGAAATATGGGGGATATTGGGTTGTTTATGCATCCATTTTCAGTGCACCTATGCATTTTTAACCCCCCTGCTCAACAAAAACAGAAAAAATCAGACAAAATAAGTTGCATGCATTTCACAGAACAAGTCTTAAGGTTTTCTTTTAGTGTGCTTTCAGGGTACATCTTCCACCTCTTGAAAGAGCTACATTACCTGCTAATTGACTCATGCAATTCTGCACATGTGAAAATATATATATATAAAAAGTCTCACAATTTTTTTTTTCTAAAAATGAATGCACATTTTTTTCTTTAAATATTAAGATAAGACTCTACTTTATGCGAATAAAAACAAAAAAGATGCAGTTTTCATCTAGACTCCTATAAATAGCAGGAAAATCCCTACCCAGCATGCTTCTCTCTGGGAAAAACCCCCTGTATTTTATACGAAACTGTGTTTAGCTACCTCTGTCGTTTCTGCACGTTGTCCAATATGGCGCCTGTATGTAGAATTTTCATGAACATCGAACCCGATAAAAATTGATTTGTCAGAGAGACAGGGTACACCTAACGTAATTTTAACGATTAAGTATAGACATAATATGCACAGATACCGTGTGCACAATATTTAAATTTGTTTTTTAAACAATTTAGTACCAAGTTTTTTCAAATCTGATCAAAATGAAAGTGCAGCAGGAGTAGCATATTGTAAGTATTTACAGTAACAGAAATTTTTTATTTATTAACCATGGCAACATCCTTCAAGAAAATTGTGCTTCTTAGTGTAATCTACTTATATGCCAAATAAGATTGAATCAGACCAAAACTGTAGGAAGAGTTAGCATTTAAGAAGTATTTCACAGAAATTTATAGTTTTAGTAACCATGGCAACACTGTTCATTGGAATAAAAAACCGATACACAGAATTGTGTATCTTAGTAAAATTTACTTGTTTGCCAAGTTATATTGAAATCAAACCAAAACTGTAGGAGGAGTAGCGTTTTGAATGTATTTTACTGAAATTTCTATTTTTAGTAACCACGACAACACTGTTAATTGAAATCTAAAACCGATACACAGAATTATGTATCCTAGTGTAGTCTTCTTGTGTGCCAAGTTATATTGAAATCAGACCAAAACTGTAGGGGGAGTAGCATTTTAAATGAATTTTGCAGAAATTTCTATTTTTAGTAACCACTGCAACACTGTTCATCGAAATCAAAAATCGATACACAGAATTATGTACCTTAGTGTAGTTAATTTGTATGCCAAGTTATATTGAAATCAAACTAAAACTGTAGGAGGAGTAGCGTTTTAAAAGTATTTCATAGAAATTTCTATTTTTAGTAACCACGGCAACACTGTTCATCGAAATCAAAAACCGATACACAGAATTATGTATCTTAGTGTAGTCTACTTGTGTACCAAATTATACTGAAATCAGACCAAAAATGTAGTAGGAGTAGCATTTTGAAAAATTGTTTACAGACAGACGGACAGACGGACAGACAGACAGACAGACGGACAGACGGACGGACGCCGGACGCATTACTATCGCATAAGCTCTTCTGGTCTTTGACCAGTAGAGCTAAAAATAAGATGGATCTTGATGTCTACGAAAAGAGTTTTATGAAAAGACTTTCTTTTACATTCGACAGCTGACTTTTACATTATAGTAGTTGGAGTTTGTCTCTGTTTAAATTGTAGAAGTCATTTGTCGATTGTAAAAGTAAGTCTCTTCATAAAACTCCAAAACAGAGCATTTGATTTATTTTATGACTATGAGCGTAACAGCCAAACTATCCCTCTTTAGCACCCATTTACTTTCTAAACTGTACATTAGGTTATAGTTTTATCCACAAAATTTTATCTCTGTTGAAGAGCTCTGCAGTCCTTACCTTCTAGCTCAAATGCTTCAAATTTACTGATTTCCGGCAATAATTTACAGAGCTGGTCTGTAACAGAGAGAAGGGGCAGGATTTCTGGCAACATTTCACTGATCCACTCCAAAGGTAACATCAAAAGAGCATTCATAATGTGGAACATCATGGCTCCCGCTGGAGAATTGTACAAAATATCTGAAAAATAAATCATATTATTTATCAAAAAAATTGTCATTTATATACCTTATTGTTATGTTCAGTAAAAAAAAGTATCTATATTCTTTATAAAGATAACCAGTCAACATAATTGATATTAGCCATATATGCATGAAGTATGAGAAATCAATTCTTCTATTAAGTTATTATCTTTAATACTAAGTGAGATTTTTTAAGTGCATCTTCAGGGTATTTTTCCACACACAGAGATTTAAACATCCATCATCATGTTTTGTTTTACATCATTTACCTTCAATTGCAATAACCACACTAACATTACACTTCTCGTGTTGTAAAAGCACCAGAGCTTTTTCAAACAGATTTTTGGTGACAGAGAACATCAGAGACGTGTGTTTAAACAGAAGATCAACTGCTGGAGAATCGTGTGACTTCCAGGGCTGCTGGGTGAAGCAGTAGGCCAACAAATGTTTCTGGAGAGATGATAATAGATTGTGAAGATGAGGGAAAGCCATCATGAACATCTTATGTTCAAATTCCTTGTCCAAATTCTTCTCCAAGTCATCTATGGCCTCCTCCTGCCAAATAAATAATTCATGATTACCTGTATTATGTACTTTAGTCATTAATCATCGCATGGATATTTTACTTTTGACTAAGAATACTCTCTGACTTTCAACATTTGAATGAATTAATCAATGTTTTTTTTTTTTTTTGAAAGTCTTTCATTTCTTTCAGATCATATTTTTACTGAACATGAAGAATCATATGAGGGGTTACACAAACATGATTTATAAATTGTAAATGTACGTTATTAAAAAGAATAAAATTTCAGGTGATTTATTAAATATTTTTTTTATCTACAATGTACCGTCTCATTGGCAAGATTTCTAAGAATTGTTTTCATGAGGATCTCTGCAAGCATCAAATCCACAGAGCCATCACTAGGCTGGGATGAAGCAAGACTTTCTGATGGATCCGAGAATCCCAGGAGTGTAGAGATGTGATTGTTATCATACAGACTTGTCAGTATCAAACTCAGCTGCATTTGCTGCAATGAAGAAGTTGAAGATGACTTTGAGTTATAGCCTACACTAATTTTAGTTTTAACATAGCATTGTTAAAAAAATCTGCTTTAAAAAAATACTGTTTTAAATTTCTTTAAATACTAAGTTTTTGTTTGCTGCAATAATCTGTAAAATTATATGAAATTTATAAATGCATGCTCATTAAATAAAAAAACAAAGTAAACAGTATTAATTCGGAACCATATCTTTGATGATTGTAAGTGATTCTGGCAGTAGATACCTTTCCCCTAGATAGACTGTCCCATCTGCCCTGGCCCTGGGGGAGCAGTGAATGTAACAGCTCCATTCTCTCCCTGAGGGGAGGGAGAAGAAGAGAAGCTCCTACTCTCAGAATTTCTGAAACAGTCTGTAATTCAAAAATAGAAAAACAATATTCAATAGCACATCTAAGACCAACCTAAATGTAGTTTTAATACAATTTTTATTTTATTTTTAGTTCGTTGTGAATGTTGACTATTATTGCATCAAAAAAATCAGTTTATACCAGGTTAACAACTTAAGGATTGCTTGGGAGAATATAACTTTAAATTGACATTGTTGCAAGATTTTTTGGTATTACATTGACTGACAGCTGATTCTCTCCTGTACGATAAGAATCCCTTTCTTTGCATGTATTTGAGATATTGGATCATGTTCTTTACAATATTTTCTACATAATCATATGGATTCAATTTTTCTATGCATATACAATAAAAAATATTTCTTACATCTCTAATGCTATCTGGAATGTTGGAATCCAGAAGTCTAAACAGTAGGTTTCTAAGCTGCGGTGCCTGGTCTCCCAGAACTGAACTTGTCATTCCCCCAGCTAGAGCTAGAGATAGGTGAGTGCTCAACATCTTCAAACACAGCTGAACAAAATGACGATGCTCTCTGTAAAAAGGAAAAAAAGTGAGGTCAAATTAGCCAAGGATGGGACAAATTAAGTTTTAATTAACTACCAAAATTTACGAGTAATGTCTAACTATAAATGCAGAAAGTCAAAACTTTGCAAAAATTTGAAAATTAATTCAGTATGTCTATGAGAACTTACTTAAATATACATTCAGTATGTCCATGAGAACTTACTTAAATTTAAATGTACCATTATGCACTTTTTATTTATTTTTTTTTTTACCTGTGTGAATTAAATGGAGCTTGTGGAGACTCTTCATCAAAGCCTGAGCAGAAATTTTCCAGAAATGTCCTGATAATGGCGAATGTAGCCTCCTGTAAGTCCACACAAAAAGGCCTCTGCCAGGCTACCACTGGTCTGAAACAGGACAGCTCTTCTATTATAGCCTTGTTCTTTGAGCCTTATACATTGTTAACCTTAAGTGCATTTATTTTTATTACACTCTTCTAACCCATAACAAGAGACCCAAATGTCACAATATTTGCAAAGTTATTGCAGGAAGTTGAAAATATACATCAACATTTTTTGATATACACTGAATTCAAAATTTAGAGTATAAAAAGGTCATAGCCTGGTTAAAACAATCGTGAGTTAGCAGTATAAGCATCTCAATAAATCATACCAATAAAGAATATCTTGGCAGTTATCATAAACTGAAACTCAAAGAATCATGTCAAAGCCACCAAAACATGATCCTCACTACTCGAGAGAGCATACTCTAACTTGTGAAAGCCACTAACAATTTTCTTGAAATGATACCTGTCAGTGGGCAGAGCAGTCCAGGCCACACTGTGAGAGGTGCCAGCTGACACCTGGTGGACACTGATACCGTCCAGACCTATCACTTTCTTGGGACGGGTGATGGGACTCTGTGCATGTCCCTGGCCACACTGACCCATGGCATTGTTACCCCAGGCATAAACTTCACTCTCTGTGTCAAGAAAATAAAACATGTAAATAAAGATTTATACATAAACCATACATATGTAACTTATACCATTCTATCTTAAAGGATATTTTTTTAAAGATATTTATGTTATCAATGGCTATTACCCTGTGTGAGAGCTATTACATGACTGTCACCACATGCAATGTCCACCACTCGTTTTGACTGAAGATCCTCCACAAGTCGTGGTCTGAGTGCTGTATACTCTGCTGACCCACATCCTAAAATAGCTCCACACCCCCAGGCATACAACTGTTTAAAACAAAATAGACAGATTGTAAGTCCAAACAATACAGCTAAATATTTACATGAAGTGAATGGTATTTTTAAGTTTCAGGCAACTTAGGTAGCATGACATTCTGGTGGCAAGTAAATCAAAATTAAAGTAATTCAATATTTGTATATATATTTCAATCAAATTTAATGCATAATAGATTCAAAGCCAAGGCAACAGGATTATGTCCTAAAAAATCCTTATAATATATCTGATTAAAATATTGTTTTCGACTCCCACCTGGCCTGAAGATGTTACAGCTAGAGATGACTGACTCCCACAAGCTACTTTTCTGATGTACAGTCCACTCAGGGCTTCTATCACCTTTGGTTTATGTTGTCTATTGGTGTCCCCATGACCAAGTTTTCCTATAAAATATATCAAACTAAATGCTGACAACTGACAAAACAAATTATAAACATTTACCCGGTACTACAATTACAAAACCAGAAGTCTCTGTCGAGACTGTAGCTCTACTGGTTTGTACTTATAACAAAGGATGAGAAAAGAAGCCATAGTCATTAGACCAAAACTGTAGAAGGAGTAGCATTTTAAAGGAATTTCACAGCCATTTCTATTTTTAGTAACAATGGCAACAACATTCATCGAAATCAAAAACTGATGCACTATTTTAATATGTATATTAGTGTAGTCTACATGTGTGCCAAGTTATATTGAAATCAGACCAAAACTGTAGACAACAGTAGAAATAGTAGCGTTTAAAAGGAATTTCACAGAAAATTCTATTTTTAGTAACCATGGCAACACCGTTCATCGAAATCAAAATACAATGCACTATTTTATGTATCTTAGTGTAGTCTACTTGTGTGCCAAGTTATATTGAAATCAGATTAAAACTGTAGGAGGAGTAGCGTTTTAAAGGAATTTCACAGAAAATTCTATTTTTAGTTACCACAGCAACACCGTTCATCGAAATCAAAAACCGATGCACTTTTTATGCATCTTAGTGTAATCTACTTGTTTGCCAAGTTATATTGAAATCAGATCAAAACTGGAGGAAAAGTAGCATTTTAAAGGAATTTCTCAGAAAATTCTATTTTTAGTAACAATGGCAACACCGTTCATGGAATTCAAAAACCGATGCACTATTTTATGTATATTAGTGTAGTCTACTTGTTTGCCAAGTTATATTGAAATAAGACCAAAACTGTAGAAGGAGTAGCATTTTAAAGGATTTTCACAGAAAATTCTATTTTTAGTTACAATGGCAACACCGTTCATGGAATTCAAAAACCGATGCACTATTTTCTGTATCTTAGTGTAGTCTACTTGTGTGCCAAGTTATACTGAAATCAGACCAAAACTGTAGGAGGAGTAGCGTTTGAAAGGAATTTCACAGAAAATTATATTTTTAGTTACCACGGTAACACCGTTCATTGAAATCAAAATCCGATGCACTATTTTATGTATATTAGTGTAGTCTACTTGTGTGCAAAGTTATATTGAAATAAGACCAAAACTGTAGAAGGAGTAGCGTTTTAAAGGAATTTCACAGAAAATTCTATTTTTAGTAACCATGGCAACACCGTTCATCGAAATCAAAAAACGATGCACTGTTTTCTGTATCTTAGTGTAGTCTACTTGTGTGCCAAGTTATACTGAAATCAGACCAAAACTGTAGGAGGAGTAGCATTTTAAAGGAATTTCACAGAAAATTCTATTTTTAGTAACCATGGCAACATCGTTCATTGAAATAAAAAACCGATGCACTATTTTCTGTATCTTAGTGTAGTCTACTTGTGTGCCAAGTTATATTGAAATCAGACCAAAACTGTAGGAGGAGTAGCGTTTTAAAGGAATTTTACTCAAAATTCTATTTTTAATTACCACGGCAACATTGTTCATCGAAATCGAAATCCAATGCACTATTTTATGTATCTTAGTGTAGTCTACTTGTGTGCCAAGTTATATCGAAATCAGACCAAAACTGTAGAAGGAGTAGCGTTTTGAAAAATTGTTTACAGACAGACGGACAGACAGCTAGACAGACAGACGGACGGACGCCGGACGCATTACTATCGCATAAGCTCTTCTGGTCTCTGACCAGTAGAGCTAAAAAGGATCATCTTAATCTATTACAAGTAGAAAAAAAGAAAGATTTGATAATCAAGTAAAGAAATCGATAATAACTCACCATTTTCTCCTCCACCAAATGACCAGATAGTTTTACCATCCTGAGACACAGCCAATGTGTGACTTCCACCACAGGCAACCAGACCTACAGACTCAACGGATTGTACTTTGGTTGGAAAGTTCTTGCTAGATGTGTAGTCATGCCCTAAAATGTATATTAGACAGATTTAGATTTAGACAGTGCACCCTGCACGCGTAGTATGATTGTCTATTTAAAATTACATTAAAAAAATGCCAGTATGTTCTGCATATAAAAGGTGGAGCAGATTGTCGATTTCAATAATTTTCCATACCTAAT